TATATTCATTTTTTTTTATATGCGGCCAAAATGTGAGTGGAACTGTGGGGATTGCTACTAGGGGTCCTTTCTAACGTACTATTTTGTTTTTGTTTTGTAAAACGTTTTTTAGTAAGTAATTTTTTTTTTTTTGTGTAAGCGAAGCATCTTGAGGAGTAAATTTTTTTTGTTGGTGAATCATATTACTTGTGCGTTGCCACTGCGCGTGCTGCGGTGCCATTTTGAGTTTTAGTCATCTAGTTTTCCCATCTTTGCGTCTTGCATCTCTTTTGTGTGTGTATGTGCGTCCTCACTCGCTTTGATCCTCTTTCCTATCTTTCAATTTTTGTATCTACAGGCACACACGATACACATGTATACTGCAGTGCACGTGGCGGATGCCTTCTGGTGGCTATGAAGAGGCCGAAACAACGACAAAGGAATAGTGTGCGCTGTGACTCATTCTTCCTTTCCTTGCGAAGGCAGTGCGCTGCGTGTGGGAGTGTTGTCTTGAAGCGCGGCGCCGCCAACTGCAACGGCGCGGCACGGGGTGGGTGGCTTGTCTTGTCTGAGTTTGCTGCCGCTGTGGATGCGTCCGCACGGACACTTTGTTCTGCCCCATCTTTGGGCCTTTCTTTTGGGTTGTGTGGCTTGGTGGCGACAGTGGCGGGGTGTTTTTTGCTTCCACTTTCATGCGTTGCCGTGGCAGAGCCTTGCGGAGGCGTGCGACCTAAAAAAGAAATGCAGAATATTGTGTGGGGCTTACTGGGTGGTGCGGTGGCCGCAGAGTGGGGCTGCCGCTTCTCCTCTTGCGCCGGGGAATATGCTGCCGCACTCTTTTTGTTGGCTGTGTCGGGGGCAAATGTGCCGGCGTCTGACAATCTGCAGGTTCCATCGCCACGACGACTGAAGGAGGCGGAGGTGTCTGCGGCTGCCTTCGCAGGCTGCACCCCGTGCGGCCCAGTCGTGTGGCAAACAGTTTCCTCTCGGAATTCACGTGCACCGCGCCACGTGCTGGGCGCAGCGTATATTTGCGTCGCAGGGGATAATGCGGTGGCGTTCATTCTTCTTTTCGCGGGTGAACGAACAGGCGGCTGGCGTTCTGCTCCTTCGCACCTCAGCGAATTGCGACACAAAATACCACCGCGACGAGGCAGTCAATTTCGCCGTGAGTGGGTGATATCTACGTGTGGCTACGCACACACGGAGTTGTGGGGATCCGAATGTCATGTGCAATACGAGAAGAAGAGAGACACCTCGTCGCAGTTGTTGTGTGTGCTGCGTAATTTGCACGGTTTGCCTAGGGGGATCTAATTTGCCCTCGTTGTTTGTGTGGGAGGTGTGCGCCGCGTGCCGTGTGTGTGGGTGGCCCTCTCTCTCTTGTTTTCGTTGCGGCTGCGTGGGGTCGGGTCTCTGCCTGTTTTTTTTTTTAATAATTTCATTCTCCCTTTTGACTGCTGGTTGAGTATTGTGCTGCAGTTCAACTCAAGTTAACCACCACGAAGGAAAACATCTCTGAGAGACGCGAGGAAGAATCTCACCCCACCGAGGAGACCCCCGCACAGCGCCGAAGGGTGGAAGGAGCGCCGCAACAGCCAAGGTGGACGCTATCGAGTAATCTCCGGGGCGTATTGATGGGGGAAGAAGGTGACATTAAAGATATGAAACTCAATAACTTTCTTCGCAGTACATTGGGCGGCAGGGGAGTTGTGCCAATGAACGAGAATGTCTCCATTGAGAATTTTGTTGCGCAGCCCCGGGTATTCATCGAAGATAAAAATGTTTTGGGCTTAATACTGACATCGCCGTCTTACACAGCCATAAGGGAAGAAATAGAAGACGCACGCAGACTTCGTGAAGATG